TAACTTGACTTCTTAAAACACTATTAGTAACTCTTATGTTATTTGCAGCCAAATCACCCAACACATACTATATGATTAAAGCAATATGCCAAGAAACGCAGACCATGTACATACAGAAAATTTTAATTAAAGCAACACAGTATATAAATTGCACTATTTTTCATTTAGAAGTGCAAAAGGACATTCCTATACATTATAGCATCTATATATTGTAAGACCAACACCTGTCTCATTTTTTAATAGCTGCCTAGTATTTTATGCATGAGTAAACTATACCTTTGTATTGAATTAGTCATCTAGATTAGCCTCAGTGAGCTATTATCCCCAAATAAATTTTAAAATATAAAAAAGTATGAAATAATTAAAGTTAAATAACATGGAAATTAAATCCATAAATTATACACACACCTAAAGGAGTCATCAATATCTGAAGAAGGCTTCATTATCTGGCATTGTGTATAGCCCTCCACTACAGATGCCTTCCTCACCCTGCTTGGACTCTGAAATCCTACACTGAACTTCCTCTTCCACAGGGACACCTTTTTTATTCCCCCTTCTCTTTCTGAAGTTCCACTCTGTGTCACTGTTCTGTGTGGGGCTCTTACACTAGCTCCTTGGACTCTGACAGTAAATGTTGGAAAATACTTCTATATGGATGGTCTCCTCACCCTATTTGGATTCTAATACCCCATATGGGGTCACCAGCATGCACTGAAGCCTTTACCTACCTCTGGTTTCAACTCACACTAGGCATTCTTCTTATGTAGACACTATGCATTGCTTACTCTGTCCCACCCAATGATTTTAGGACTGAATTGTGCAATAAGGGAAGAATGAAAAAAGGGAAGGGAAAGAAAAAGAAGGACAGAGAAGGCACTGGGAAGGGGAAAAGGAAGAGAAAAAGCTCATTTGGTTTTAATTTGCAATTTCCTGATTACTTATTAGGTTAAACACATATCCTGAGTTTATAGACCATTTGGTATCTGATTCAATTTAGTGCCTGTTGAAAGTCTTTTGCCCAGTTTTCTAACAGATTGTTAAATTTTTTATTGATTTCTAGGAATTCATACACACACACACACACACACACACACACGAGTACTGTTTATCTTCCACTTAACTGAGATATAATTGATGTACAACAAACCGCACATATCACAATACACAACTGTATATACCCTTGTGAAATCATCATAATCATGATGGTGAACATACCCATCAACTTCCTTTGTAATCCTGCTCCTTCTTCTGCCCTTCTCCACTGCTTCTTCCATCTCCAGGCAACCACTGATCTGCTTTCTGTCACTAAAGGTCGGTTTGCATTTTCTAGAATTTCGAGCACATGGAATTATACAAGTATGTATTTATTTTTGTCTGGCTTCTTTCACTCATAATTATTTTGAGATTCTTTCATGGTGTTTCATATAGCAATAGTTCATTCCCTTCTTTTTTTGATGCTGAATGGTGTTCCATTGCATGGATACACTACCGTTTGTTCATCCATTTACTTGTTATTTTTTTAAATTGAAGTATAGCAGATTTACAATATTGTGCTAGTTTCAGGTGTATTGTAAAGTGATTCAGTTATATATTTTTTCAGATTATCTTCCATTGTAGGTTATTACAAGATATTAAATACAGTTCCCTATACTATGCATTAAATCCTTGATACTTATCTATTTTATGTATACTAGTTTGTATCTGTTAATACCTTTCTCCTAACTTATCCCTACCCACCTCCTTTTCCCTTTTGGTAACCGTAAGTCTGTTTTTTATGTCTGTGAGTCTGTTTCTGTTTTGTATATAGATTCATTTGTATTATTTTTTGATTCCACATATAAGGGATATAATATTTGCCTTTGTTTCACTTAGTATGATAATCTCCAGGTCCATTCATGTTGGGACAGATGGCAATATTTCATTCCTTTTATGGCTGAGTAATATTTCATTGTATATGTATATAACACATCTTCTTAAGCCAATTGTCTATTTAAGGGCACTTGGGTTATTTCCATGTCTTGGTTATTACAAATAGTGTTACTAGGAACATTGGGGTGCATGTACATTTTTAAATTAGAGTTTCATCTTTTCCAGATATATGCCCAGGAGTAGGATTGCTGGATCATATGGTATCTCTATTTGTAGTTTTCTAAGAAGCCTTCGTAATGTTTTCCACAGTGGCTGCACCAATTTACATTCCCACCAACAGAGAAGGAGGGTTCTCTTTTCTCCACATCCTTTCTGGCATTTGTTTTCTGCATACTTTTTGAGGATGGCCATTCTGACTAGTGTGAGATAATACCTCATTTTGGTTTCTATTTGCATTTCTCTAACAATTAGTGATGCTGAGTGTCTTTTTATTGGTCATCTGTATGTCTTCTTTGGAGAAATGTCTATCCAGTTTTTCTGCCCATTTTTTGATTGAGCTTTTCTGTTGTTGCTGTTATTGAGTTGTACGAGCTGTTTGTATATTTTGGACATTAGCCCCTTGTGAGTTGCATCATTTGTAAATACTTTCTCCCTTTCCATAGTTTGTCTTTTCCTTTTGTTGCTAATTTCTTGCTGTGCAAAAGCTTTTAAGTTTGATTACTTCCCTTTGTTTATTTTTGCTTTTGTTTCTCTTGCCTTGGGAGACTAATCTAACAAAATATTGCTACGATTTATAACCAAGAACACTCTCTTCTAGGAGTTTTATGGTGCCATGCCTTATATTTAAGACTTTAAACCATTTTGAATTTATTTTTGTATATGGTTTGAGATGTTCCAATCTCACTGATTCACATGCAGCTGTCCAGCTTTCCAAACAGCACTTGTTGAAGAGTTGTCTTTTCTCCTTTGTATATTCTTGCCTCCTTTGTCATAGATAAATTGACTGTAGGTGTGTGGGTTTATTTCAGGGTTCTCTATTCTGTTCCATTGATCTATATGTCTGTTTTTCTGCCAATACCACTTTGTTTTGATTTCTGTAGCTCTGTAGTACAGTCTGAAGCCTGGAAAGGATATGCCTCCAGTCTTGTTCTTTTACCTCAGGATTGCTTTGCAATTCTGGGTCTTTTGTGATTACATATAAATTTTAGGATTATTTGTTCTAGTTCTGTGGAAAATGTCCTGGGCATTTTGACAGGGATCACATTAAATGTCTATATTGCTTTGAGTAATATGGCCATTTTAACAATATTAATTCTTCTAATCCAAGAGCATGGGCAATCTTTCTATTTCTTTGAATCATCTTCAATTTCCTTTATCAATGTTGTATAGTTTTCAGCATATAGGTCTTTCGCCTCCTTGGTTAAGTTTATTTCTAGGTAGTTTTTTTTTGACACAATTTTAAATGGGATTTCTTTCTTTGTTTCTAATATGTCATTGTTAGTATAAAGAAATGTGACAGATTTCTGTATATTAATCTTGTACCCTGCTATGTTGCTGAATTCATGTATTAATTCTCATAGTTTTTGGGTGGAGTCTTTAGGGTTCTCTAGATAGATGATCATGTCTTCTGCAAACAATGACAGTTTTACCTCTTCTCTTCCAATCTGGCTACCTTTTCTTATTTTTCTTATCTGATTGCTGTGGCTAGGACTGCCAATACTATGTTGAATAGAAGTAATGAGAGTGGGCATCCTTGTCTTGTTCCTGAATTTAGTGGGAAGGCTTTCAGCTTTTCACTGCTGAGTATTATGTTGGCTCTGGGTTTGTCATAAATGGGTTTTATTATGTTAAGATATGTTCCCTCTATATCCACTTTGGTGAGAGTTTTTAATCATGAATGGATATTGAATTCTGTCAAATGTTTTTTCTGCTGTCTGAAGAAATTGTTTACATATTCTAGACATGAGACGTTTACAGTTCTGTGTATTGCATACATCTTACCTTTAATGCAGTCCAAATTATATCTTTGTCAGTGCTTTTCCTTGTTGTTTTCATTTGTTTGCTTGTTTTTAGAAATCTTATTTATATCAAAATCATAAGGATATTCTCACATATTACATTCTAAAATATTGTTTCATTTTCATATTTAGATCTAGAATTCACCTCAAATTAATTGCTGTGTAAAATGTGAGACGGCAGTCACTGTTCTTTTTTTCACTCCACATAAAATACCTTCATATTCCCACTGCTCTACAGTGCCATCTTTGTCATAAACGACGTATGCACATATGCGTTGATCTCTTTCTGTCTGTTTCATTATATTCCTTTGGTCCTTTTTTCCTGTTGTCCAGTACCACCCTATCTTTATCCCTAGAACTTTTTGTAGGGGGAGGATGGGTTAAACTTTAATTTTGAACTAAATCTAGGCTTATAGAAAAGTTGTAAAATTTTCCATATACCCCAGAGTTTCTTATGTCCCAAACCAAGCTTTCCTGAATGTTTTTATCTACATAACCATAGTACAATCATCAGAACTAGGAAACTAGCACTGGTAGAATACTATTAACTTAAGCTGCAGACCTTATTCAAATTTCATCTGTTTTTCCACTAACATCCTTTCCATGTTCCAGGATTCTATTGAGGATTTAATCTTGCATTTAGTTGTTATGTCTCCTCAGTCACCTCTAATCTATAACAGTCCCTTTACCTTTTGGAATCTTGCCACCTTTGAAGAGTATCGGTTGGTTATTTTGTAGGTGGTCCCTCAATTTGGGTTTGTATGATGTTTCCTCATGATTGTTACTGAAGATGCACATTTTGGACAAGAATAATCAGAAGTGATGTTCCTTTCTCAGTACATCATTGCAGGTGTCATGTGATAATGGTGACATATCTTGTTATCACTTGGCTAAGGTTGTGTCTGCTAGATTTCTCCACTCTTTAAAGGTACTATCTTTCCTATTGTAGCTAATAAATATCTTGAGATATTTTGAGACAGTGCAAATGTCTTTTCACCCCAAACTTTTGCCCATTAATTTGAGCATCTGTTGGTGGACCTTGCCACTATGACTACAATCGTAGGAACAGACTAATGGGGATTATTCATCTTCCTCTTTCTGTCTACATTTATTATTTAGAATTCTTCTTAAGCAAGAGCTGTCTTATCCCTGCATTTATTTATTTATTCAATTATTTATATGGGTGTACACTCCCAGGTATTTATTCTATTCTATGGAACAAAATCCAATTAAGTCATTATTTTATTTCTCAAACAGGTTGAGCTTTGGCCATTAGGAGCCCCTTTAAGATGTCCACTGTGTTCTTTCAACAAGCAACCATCTTTTTCCTTTATTTTTTATTTAGTTATTATTAGCACTTCCTTATTTCCTGAGGCCACAAGATATTCTGAGCTCACCTTGTGTTTTCCTACCAGTCCAGGAAGACCATTTTCCAAATATGCACTGACACCTTTTATTGAAAAAGTGTTTAGACACCAAGGTCTAGTGCTTGATGTTCTCCTGGAGCGTCACCTGTTGTTTTATGCCCTCTCAGTGGACAAAGCTGGGAATATATGTGTATATACTTCCCAATGCATACTGTCAGGCTTAAATGATGAAACTGCCTTTGAAGAGGAGCTGGCTATCTCCTCACACTCCCCTCCTTAGAGTGCATGTTTAAAATCTCAATAGGCTCAATAAGAGATCTTTTGAGCTCTTTGGTCTTACAATGCAAGTTTGGGGACCTTCTCATCCTTGGAACTATACATATATGCTTCCAAAATTAACTCAGGAGACCTTCACAAAGAGACTATTATCCGGTGTAGCCTTTTGTCTCTTGAGGAGATAAGTTATTCTTGCTTCTACTTTGCTAAATAAATTACGTGAAAATCTGTCCAGACTTTTTAGTCACTTCTTTTGCTAACTTACATTCATGTAAATCTGATACTGCTTACTTACTTACAAACTGTTCTCTCTTCTACATCGCTTCAGGGGTCTTTTGCTGGCAGGGCTGTTTTATTCCCCACCCCTCCCCACACACACTTGTGTTTCTGAATCTTTGATTTAAAGAGAGGGATGGCTTTGGATACTTACACATTGGTAGAAAGGAGAAGAATGCAGAAGAAAACAGATTTACAGATTTGGGGGCAAAAAAAAAATCGGGGGAATTTTCCATTTGAAGCACCAGTTATCTCCAGAAAGTGAAAGATAAGTCATTTGTTTACAGTATCCATGGAACTGGAAGGAGTAAAGATTTGTAACATTTAAATAGTTATTGCAAATAATGGGAAATAGAGTCGATTAAAAACCAGAGCACGCACGGCTGCTGAGTAGTTTTTGGATAAGTTCACATTGATAACTAGCCATAACTTATTCTTGCATAACTACTCACTCCAAAGCAGCCTCTGCTCTGGTGCTTGCCAGCTCTCTTCTGTACAGCTTGGCCAATGGTTCATTACTCT